CACATTATATTTAAGAATAGGAATTTCTAAACAGCGTTAAATAACATCTCTAATAAAAAGTCCAAGACACCAGCCAGTGTATATGTAAATCTAGGAAGAGAAGTCAAGTACAACTCACAAAGGATCATTTCAGTAAGAGACATTTTTGATTCACTCTCCCACCACAGATATTCACGGATTTTATCTGGCAACATTCTGGCTTTAAGTCCATATACAAGGCATACTGAGGGAAACAGGAAAGCACAATGCGTCCCTAGAGGGAAGAATGAATTCCTGTCCCCGAAGACTATTTGAATCCCTGGTAATGGGAGCGGATATATTTAAGCATCCATCTCTCAGCCCAACTCCCACTCAGCCCAAACTGCAAGGTTAAAATTGTTTAAGTATACAGGTGCTGGTCATATAATTAGAATATCATCAAAAAGTTGATTTATTTCAGTAAGTCCATTCAAAAAGTGAAATTTGTATGATGTATACATTCATTCTACACAGACTGATATATTTCAAGTGTTCATTCCTTTTAATTTTGATGATTATAACTGACAACTAATGAAAACCCCAAAATCAGTATCTCAGAAAATTTGAATATTGTGAAAAGGTTCAATATTGAAGACACCTGGTGCCACACTCTAATCAGCTAATTAACTCAAAACACCTGCAAAGGCCTTTAAATGGTCTCTCAGTCTAGTTCTGTAGGCTACACAATCATGGGGAAGACTGCTGACTTGACAGCTGTCCAAAAGATGACCATTGACACCTTGCACAAGGAACGCAAGACACAAAAGGTCATTGCTAAAGAGGCTGGCTGTTCACAGAGCTCTGTGTCCAAGTACATTAATAGAGAGGCAAAGGGAAGGAAAAGATGTGGTAGAAAAAAAGTGTACAAGCAATAGGGATAATCGCACCCTGGAGAGGATTGTGAAACAAAACCCATTCAAAAATGTGGGGGAGATTCACAAAGAGTGGACTGCAGCTGGAGTCCACGCACAGACGTATGCAAGACATGGGTTTCAGCTGTCGCATTCCTTGTGTTCCTGCTGACCAACTTTATGGCGATCAGATTTCATTTTCCAACAGGACTTGGCACCTGCACACAGTGCCAAAGCTACCAGTACCCAGTTTAAAGACCATGGTATCCCTGTTCTTAATTGGCCAGCAAATTCGCCTGACCTTAACCCTATAGAAAACTTATGGGGTATTGTGAAGAGGAAGATGCGATACGCCAGACCCAACAATGCAGAAGAGCTGAAGGCCACTATCAGAGCAACCTGGGCTCTCATAATACCTGAGCAGTGCCACAGACCGATCGACTCCATGACACGCCGCATTGCTGCAGTAATTCAGGCAAAAGGAGCCCCAACTAAGTATTGAGTGCTGTACATGCTCATACTTTTCATTTTCATACTTTTCAGTTGGCCAACATTTCTAAAAATCCTTTTTCTTGTATTGGTCTTAAGTAATATTCTAATTATCTGAGATACTGAATTTGGGATTTTCATTAGTTGTCAGTTTTAATCATCACAATTAAATGAAATAAACATTTGAAATATATCAGTCTGTGTGTAATGAATGAATATAATATCCAAGTTTCACTTTTTGAATGGACTTACTGGAATAAATCAACTTTTTGATGATATTCTAATTATATGACCAGCACCTGTGCGTGTGTGCGAGTGTGTGTATGAAGGTACAAAAACACAAAGCATAATTGGAACAGTACGATATCGTGCGCGCTCTTTGGTTTCAAGTATTTGCCCGGCAAATTATATGACTCTTCTACAGAGGCCCAGAAGGAGAAAACAGTATCAGAGAGGAGAGACAAACAAAATGAAAGACCTACTGTTGCACTCCCTTACAAGTTAAGTTTTTGCATTCTCTTATTTGGCCTACCCTAAAACTTGTCCTGAGAAACTGTTTGTAACAATCATAACATTTTACAGCACTTGTGGTTTTCTCTGGATGATGCAAAACACCCATCCCCACCCATTTATAATATTTCCCATCATGAACTTGTGTAAAAATGTATAGAAAACATAAATAAATGGCTCTGTCTTGGTCTGAACTTTTTTGTTTCCTCTCTCTCTCCCTCACCCCTATTCTTTCCCAAACAGTCCATGGCTGATTCCCACACCTTGTTTGTCATTTTTCCTCCATGGTAGATTTTCTTCTTTTTCCACTGTTAAAACCCCATTTTCTCCCTCTTTCTCTCCTAGTGTGTTACCCCTCCCTTGCTGGCTTGCTCTCTCTCTCCCACTCTCTGCCGCTGTTGCTCTGCTCCAATCCCTCCTTCATATAATCCTGTGTTCATTGGCTCACTTCATTAGTTGTAGCAATAAACACACAGGGCCACAGGATACCTCCAGAAAACTCCTCAACATGATTACTGCAGAGTCAGGCTTACATACCACATGCATGTGTACCAAGTGTAGTATGGTTGCGTGGGGTGTGTGTATAATAGCAGTGCACCCACCCAGTCCATAAAGACACTAAAGCTATAATCATTTCACAGTATGTCTGCATGAATTAATTCAGACATACAAATGCAAGCACACCAAATGTTTTCATGTGCATTTAAAAGTTTGTGAGTCAATTATATTTTTCCCATCATGAATTTTTACACAAGTTCATGATGGGCAATATTATAAATGGCCAATCATCCAGAAAAAACTACAAGTGCTATAAAATGTTATAATTGTTACAAACAACTTCTCAGGACAAGTTTTTACTTAACTACAATGTGTGCTGAATATTATATATAATATATAGTTATTACAATGACTACATATCTACATCAGTGTGACCAGATAGTTCAGCACTGAAAGAAAAGATTTTGACTCAAATGTCTTATATTCTCTGATCGACCATTGTTGTCTCGATCTGCTGTATGCAATCATAAATCATAAAACACAAATGTATAGAAAATAGAAGGAATATGTTTGTTTGCGACTGCACGTTTTTGACTGCATGACTCCCATTTGCTTGCAATGGGATGTGTTCCTACTTTTTTCATATTTTTCTTTTATGATCCTGATGACAACCCTGCTACAGCTCTACTTATTCATCTCTGCACGATGTTCTCAGAGACTCTCTGGTGACCCCTTACAGGAGCCGCTCAGATGGTGTTTTGACAGGGGAAGGGCTGGCAACTCCCCCACTTTCAATGGTCTCATTATTAAAGCAGTTCTGCCGGGACTTAACTCAGCCCGTTTTTCTACAACCACAAAGGACACATAAAAACACTTTGGTAAAGTCAGAAACCACACTGCAGCATGCACACAAGTATGAGTGTGTGTGTGTGTGTGTGGCGTGAGGGTACAAGCCCCCTCTCCACACATGAGAAATTTTAGACAGTACTTGGCTCTGTTGTGGCTATGCATGAACCCACAATGCACACACATATCCATATAACTGTGCACATGTCAGAATCCCATCAAAAAATTGTAATACATAAAACAAATATCTATTATCGCAACACAATTTAAAATTCTACACAGCAAAAAGTCAATAGGTGGCTTACACTGACACACTGGAAATGACAGTCGGAGCAATAAACATAGAGATGGCTGTAAAGGCGCAAGATAGGGCATGATGGAGAGTTGACCTGCAGAGTAACTGCTATCTCTCTGATAATTCCTTACACATATACAGTATATTTTGCTAGTACCGTAATACAGCAACAGTTACACATAGCAGAAAAGTGCAAATTGTATTTCAACAGAAAGATATAATATATAAAGATATAAAATATAATAAAGTTGGTGTTGTGTAATTGAGTGTATGTCTCCTCAAGGAACAGGGTTTCGGTCCCCATGTGTTTTGAGTTTTTTTGCAGGAAGAGGAGGGATAAGATAACAAAAAACAACAGGAAAGCATCCTGTGTGATGCTGCTGATCCCTAGTCCGTGCATTCCAGTTAAAGGCTGAATTGTGGCTGCCAAGGTTGCTCAAGTTGAACAGCTCCTGCGAGAGGTTTTCATGTTTGTAAAAACACTCCATCCTTTGCTTGGAAACCTGACAATAACACAGCAATGTCCTGGGTCTCTCTCTCTGTCTCATTCTGCCTCCCCCCCCCCCCATCCTCCATCTCTCTTTAACTTTCTCACTCTGTCTTGCTCATTTACCCTCTCTCCAATTTCCATGGCCGTAACTTTAATGCAAATGCCAACTCTGCTCAGTCCATTTACACACACACACACACACACACACACACACAGAAGGCTCAGTCATTCAGTCTGTCAGTAATATGGGGAGCAGAACTAACAGAGAATAAATCATTTTTCCACAGCAGGGGCCTACCCCGAACAAAGAGCCTGTGTGTATGTGTTTTTGGGATGTGTGTGTTGGTCTATTAGCATATTGCTTGAACAAATTATTCATCTTTCAGGCGTAACAGGCATAAGATTTCAATCCAAACAGAGGAAAGCAAAAGCCAAGAACATTTTTCCTCCACTGAATCAAGAATCAATCAATTCATAAATACTCTTGTGTCACTGCAGCTAAGTAAGTCTTGCACGTCTTGTGGCAGAAAAAAAAAGAGCTCGGAAAGAAAACCACTGCCTTATCATCTGTGGAAATTCCACGTCATTTTAAAGCACATCATAGCTTCAGTCAGTCAGTGATGGAAGGCCATGAACGGCATAAAGATTCAATAGTTCCCACTGCAGCACATTTCCTAAACTTGTAAATAAAAAATGCAACTTTAACAACCCTTTGCTTGGGATGATTATGAAAAACATGTTTAATCGAAATCCTTTTGAGATGCACCGATACCCAGGCTACTGTTAACACGCTCCTGTTAAGGGAGCATGTTAACAGTAGCCTGGGTGTGAAAGATAAACTATGCAAGACCTGAGAACTTCACTGCATTGCTGTCCTGAATCTACGTTTTCAACAACCTTTACAGCACATTTGAGTAACTTAAGTCTCAAATGCTTCTATTATGTGTTTGTGTTACAAAACTTTAATTTAAAACACAGGGAGTTTATATATACATTCTCTTACTTGATGTAGCTTAACTCCAACAAAACGTAGTATCCCCCTGCAGACTCTGACTTCTTCTCCCACAACCTGCATTAAGATTGGCCAGATATTCTTCTTGCTGGGTTGCCATATTCTGCGATAAGCAACCACCTCCCAGACCTCCTCTGAGATGCGTCCTGATGGCAGTGTCTTGACAATCGCTCTGGTTCCAGTACACACTGACTTGGTCACCTTATGGAACGAGGGAAAGTATTTAAGCATTGTTTTAAAGCATACTATTAATGATGAGCACAGCCAAGAGTCATAAAAAAACAAAAATAACAAACGTCATATCAACTTTGCTCCAGACACTGGAGCTAAAAAAGGGAATATTCCATGTAAATACCTTTTGATTATTCCTGAAGAAGCGCCTCACTAGGACAGTGGAACGTTCTCCACGGTTCCTAACAAACTCTGCGTTATCCAAGAGACCCTCTCCATCCTCTTCATCACTGCTGCTGCCCCCGCTGCAGTTCCCGGTCACTCCTAAAGATGACCTCTTAACGCTCCCCGCGGTTGTCGTCATGGTGTCGAGAGATGCCCGTAGCAGGAATAGTTTCTCCAGGGAGCATTTGTTGACCCTGGGCCTTCGGTTGAGCCTCTCTAAACTCGAGTAGCCATCTTTGAGATGGTGCCGGTGGAGGCGTCCATTTTGGTGATGCTGGCGAGGGTTGGGCAAGGGGGAACTACAAGGAGAGGACACCAAAGAGCTTGGTTCACTGGACGGACTGCAGCGAGATGAGAGGCAGGATGATGTCTAGAAGCAGATAACAAAGCAAATTAAATAGTCTTAGTTAGTCTGTACGGCTAAATAATCAGTGCCTTGAATGGGCTATGTAATGGGGTAAAGCATTACATTTACAGTGCAAACGTTGTGATTTTCTCAAAAACCATATTGCAGATAAGCAGGGCTAGCAACTTCCTCTTTTAGTACCTTATGGAAAGCCCGCACAGACACGGGCAGGCTGCTGCGGCGGATGTGTCGCTGATTGGGCAGAGAGGGGATGGGGCTGAGGCTCGGACTCTGAACAGGGCTGGGGCTCGGACTGGATCTAGGGCTGTGGCAACAGTAGATGTTTGGACTCACACAATTGCCAGCCATGGTGCAGGAGCAGCGGGTGCTGCCAGTTCTGTTTCTGCCTGCATCCACACCCTCTCCAAGGGTGTCCAGCTGGCACGGAGATCCCCCTGAACTTTTCCCAGGTATTGGAGTAACTCTGTTACTGCCAGCCGACAGCTCTGGATAAAGTTTCTCTTCAGTGCTCAAGAGTTCTGAGCTGTAATACAAGCACTCATATTCCTCGTCCAAAATTGTCCCTTTCCCACTGTCACACGACAGCTTCCTATATAAAAGGAGGGAAGGCCTGCTCCTTTCTTTTGAATGCCACAACTGGTCAGAGTATCGCCGTACTTCCCGGCTGTCATTTGAGCGCCTGGCTTCTCTGCTGGGTCTATGCTCAGTGGATGAAGATGAAGCCAGAACTACAGCCTCAACCTGTTTCTGATTTTCTTCAGTGGCCATTGAGTCTCCCTGGAGCGGCCTGCTTTATCCTTTGTTTTGCTGCAGCTTTGAAAATAATTGATGACAGTTAAGTATTTAGAAGAACTTCAGAAAGTGCTTTATTTATTTATATAAAACTGGTTGCATTATACCTAATCTGTGATGCAAAATCAATCATATATATTTCTCTAAGACTCTTTTAAGTGACATCTTCCATCTAAATTAGTGGCTCCATAGAGCAGCAGGAGTAATGTGCAGCCTTCAAACCCGAAATAATGTGTAAGGCGACCGCATTCTCATGTTTATAACAAAGCTGGTCAAGACGACAAATGATAGTCCAGTTTTCCCTGAAAAGTCTACTGTTACATCTAGGGGGGATTGAAGCACATTTCTCTGCTGCAGCTTCACTTGATTGATTGACTGAGTGAGTGATTGACCTACGTAATACAAGTGCACTTTTAATCAACGATAATCTATTATCAGCATCTGACCTTTTTTTTAGCACAGTTCAAAGCACTTACTTAGATGATGAGAGAGATCCACTTCAGGTCATGCTACACAACAGACCCAAGCTTCTTCTTCACTTTCAGTGTGCCATCGTGGTCATAGGCATGTGCTGGGGCAAATAATGACTTCAGCTTCCACACAGAGTGTGTTCTGTGTGTGTTTTGTGTGTGCGTGTTGTGGAAACAGAAGCTTGTGCAGCTGTACAAACTGCCAGATAGAAAGCCCACGGAGGTGACCCTGGAGGACTGAGGAATGTCCTTGATAGTAGGGATCACAGTCACAGCTTACAAGCCCATGTGTGTGCCCATATGCGCTAGCTGTGACTGGTCCTGACATGTATCAGCGGCATAGATATCCACTCGTAGGCCCTGTGTGTGTGAGAGAGAGAGAGAGAGAGAGAGAGAGAGAGAGAGAGAGAGAGAGAGAGAGAGAGAGAGAGAGAGAGAGAGAGAGAGAGAGAGAGAGAGAGAGAGAGAGAGAGAGAGAGAGAGAGAGAGAGAGAGAGAGAGAGAGAGAATTAATTAAAGAGAGAGAAGTAATTAAAATACATTTTTAACTTCCACACCATTGAAGCATATTCAAAGAGGGTAGGGTGAGACAGCTAGAACGTTCAAGACTTAGTAATAAATATTACAATAAGAGACATAGACAAACATGAGAAACACATTTTACTAACTTTAAGAGATGCTCTCATTTCCTTCTCTGCTTACTTCTCTCATCACATCAGCTTTCTTATCTATAACCATTCAACTAAATCACGGCACAAAGGGTGAGCCATTGTGACAGAAACAACTGAAACAACAAATGCTGAATTTCAGCGGGAAGGGAAAAATAAGGGAAGAACAATACTCATTTTTACACCCATCAAAACTACCAACCTTCTTGGGCAATACGAACAGTACATGTATCCCCATGTTCTGAGGTGATGTATTAAGTGTAGGGCATGTAATTTGCTTGCTATAGTTAAAAAAATGTATTTGAACCTTCAACCAAGTCCAGTTGCCCTTGACTTTAACCTTCTTTGGATAACTATGACCTGGATGACTGAGAAACTTCACAGACATATCTGAATGCATCACCTCTCAGAGGTTGAACTGAATTGTTCAGTGATGCGTCGTGGAGAAGTAGCATGGATTAACTCCATGGGAAAACTTCAAGTACACCATCACCACACTAACAAATGATTAATTATCAGCCTGCCATGGGGTCTAAAAACTGGATCCTGTATCTACATATCCCACAGTTATCTAACATCATCATAAATTGCATTTTATAAATAAGAAAAACTGCGCTGGATTGATACAATGCAACTGGCATCTTAAAATGACAGTTTCAATTAAATTTTTCTATGATGTGATGGCACTGACGATGATCTCATTTTTTATTTTGCTAGTCTTAAAACACAAGACTCTTGTCTGTAACAACACACACAGCTGTGCAATAAATAGGAAGTGATGTCTGTTATCCATAACCTCAGAAAAAGTGATTTAACTGAACTTATTCTGTCTATATCAATCTAGCATACTGGTAGGTGAATAAATCAAGTTGAGCTAAGACCAGTTATGCACCCTGGTTGTATGACATACATCCATAACAGACACACTCACCCACAACATGTGGGTTTACTAATTGTGTGGTTCTGGTATAGACATGTTGGCAAACGATGAATAAATCCAAAATACTAGTGGCCAAAAACTCATAATAAGAGTGCCTACAGCACTCACTTCTCTGCCAAAATGCGTGGGCCACAATTGGAATGTAGGACCGACTCACAGACGGACAACCAGCTACACAGTTAGTGTGTGTGTGTGTGGGGGGGGGGCTCATTGACCTTTGCTAGTTCCCCCCCCACACACACACACACACCCACACACCCACACAATATCAAGGTGTCTGAAGCCTCTTTTCAAGGCTCTGTGCGGCATTCACACAGACAGAATTTCAGCCAAAGGGATTTGACAGCTAAAAGATCTTTGGATGATGGGACATTTACAAACTTTGAATCAACTGAATCCAGCACCACACCAAAGTTTGCCAAACAAAACAGACCTTCATTGATCACAAAACATTTTTATTGTTTTACTGGAGTTGCTGAGTCAGCTTTAAAAGAATGAGCCACTCCTGTAGTAGTAAATAAGAGATGTGCCAAGATTAAAAAATTTCCGGAAACTCAACGCCTAGTAAAAATGTATGTTTGGGGCCACCGAAGGTGGTTACATTAAGGATTTAAAATGGGCTTTAATAAACAATATAATGAATCTAATAAAAGTACCTACAACTTAATGAAACAGCCAATTATTTGACCAATGAAAATTAATATTACACGTCACAACTTTGTGTGGCACATCACACCTGCAAAATAAGGCTGGTGGAAACTTTGCATAGAGAATTTGTGGCCTTTCATAAAACTGATCTGGAAAGTCAAGGACAGTTTGGATATCTTGGGATGTGCATAATACTTACCTTTCTCTCTTATATAATTATAAAAAATATATAAAAACCCAAACATTACAAAGACACAAACATGATGCAGTATGTTACCCCAAACATGTAAAAAAACAAACTCCAAGATAAAAACTGAAAAAATTGACTTCAGTGTGTCAGTTGCACAATATACCTGTGACTGAAATTGTAACACATGGGAGCAGCTTGCCTAGGGCTACACTGCTGACTAACAGCAGGCACCTTGAGACTTTTGATCTACTGATTTTTCTCACAAGACCGGAGACAAAATATGATGAGGAACATTTTCACCCCCATTTTTGAATGCCCCAAATAATCTAATCATAATCTAAATCATGGCGGTTTTCAGAAGAATGTCTTCATCAGCAAGCTGTCACCAATCATGTCAGATTACATTTTTTTGTAAGCCCACCCCGGTCCATAACAGGAAGAATCTCACCTGCCTGTATGTGTCACACTCAAATAACAGGTCCAACCAGATGTATCAAAAGTTGGAAAAGAATGCACAACATTTAGCAACTACATGTGACACTGTACCATATCTCTCCCCAGTGCTTATGTTATTGTCATTCGTGCTAGATATAAAACCCTAACCTTTTGGCATCAAATCATAAAGAAGCACTGTTTAACTTTTTCATTTTATAGTATAAATTAAGAATAAATAAACACTGTGATATAATAAATACTCCACCTTTCTGTGAACCTGTGTGTACATGCTTATATTCATTTGAAATCACAAATCAAGTTTGGTATGTATAATTTGCTATGAAGAGAACCTGCAATTGAGTTTGGGCGTAGTTTTAAAATAAAGATTAGCAACCGTAACACGGACAAGTCATAGTAACTACTAAAATTTGGGGGAGCGATGAGAAACTAAATGTGCACAATATGAGGCACAATTAAAAACATGGGATATATCAAAACTAAATCTATTTTTCTATTTTAATGTTAATGTTACCTGTCACATTAAGTCTTAGTTCATTTGAGGACACAATCTGACACGACACATGTTAGACCATGAACCTGTCTAATTATGGGTCAGGAGGGCAGTGCTAGCATAACACTCTGGTTACCCCAGGAAAGAAGTTGCATACTGTAACTTTAAATCCTAAAGCCATGTGCCGGGGGACATGACAGACAGCTGTGCTTTCCATCAAGTTAAATTAAAAACACTCTGAAATTAGCAACAGGATAGCTTTTCCACATCGTGGTTACTTAAAATGGAAGCTATATAGATGTGCTACAGCTCTACATTTAGTGTTTATTCTTATGACTGTATTTTATTCCTATAATTGAAAAGCTAATGAAATAACAACAATAAAGACTTCTTAACACACAACCACATAGCAGACCTGCTATGTGATTATCTCGGAAGGTGACTTCTCCACACACACACACACACACACACACACTAGAGAATTGCTAGCAATCAAAAAGAATGATTAAATCTCTGCAGTTTGTAAACCTAGAAAACAACCACGCACACACACAGTTCAAAGTATCTTTTGTTATCAGCTGAACTGTGACCCCGGCTGGCAAAAGCAATGGCTCTTCCAGGGTAAATCTCAGCCTTGGGCTAAAAACACAGACAGACACACCCACACACACTGGAAACCAGGTCACACAGAGTGACAAGTGCACTGACCAAGAAATCCCACGATCACTTCTACTTCACTTGTTGTATTATATAAAATATTGTCCAGCACATGGCACTCAGAAATATCTCAAAAGGTCAAAAAGTATTCCAGTATCATTTCATGATAATACTTACATTACCGTAGGCAATAAGCCTTGTAAAAGGTGTTGTACATCTAACGCTCCAGGTGAGTCAGGCTTCCCGATCACTATCTTGTTGTCATCTGAGGGAGACACACACAGGGGGAGAGTGAAAGAGTGTTTGGATGTGAGAGACAAAGATTGACATTAGGGATGGGCCTTCCACAGTCAGTCTACAAGTTCAGCAGCCAATCAGAATGTGTTTTTGAAGTTTGTGCACATTGTAAAAATGTTTCACCTTTGCCATGGCAACAACGAACTGGGATTCTTTAAGTAAATAAATAAATAAACAAATAAACTTCGACAGTCATGTGACTGCTGCCAGTCAACAAAAGGACTTCAGCGATACACATACTTATTTTTGTCCAAGATGAGACACCATAAATCTATGCTGGTATAACAAAGTGATCATTATTTCTAAATATTGACATTTCAGGAAATACCTGTGCAGCAAATATGAAGCTACAGAAAGCAGCCGGTTAGCTTAGCTGGAAGACTGGAAACAGAGAATCAGCTGACTTATATCTGTCCAAAGCTAAATAAATCTCCTTACTAGCTGTCCCAAAACTCACTAATTTACACATTAGACTGTGTTTGTATAGTCTGTAAAAAATTATTTTTAAAATAGTGAAAAAATGACATGTTTTCTTAATAACAATATAACAAAAATTCAATAAATGTTCAATAGATCGAATGAATTAGCGCTTTCTATAAAGATAATTATTTTGTTGAGGAAAAGGGACTGAGAAAAGATTTTATTGTAATTGTTTTGAATGCTCTACCCCAGATATGTTAAGTGATCCACTGTTTGGCATCAAGTGTTTGTCATTATCAGACCATAAAGAATAGTTAGATACCACAATTAACCATCTGGTTTCTTCAACTTTCACTCAAAAAAATCTGCCTTTAAACTTATAATTATTGTTATATATGAACATTTTCGGCCATATCGCCCCAACCTTAGTTATGTTTAAGTCTTGTTGTGCCTGTGAGGTTGCAACCAACGAGACTTCAAGTATAGCACATAGGCTCTTGGTTGTCAAGGTGGATTATTTGAATTGTATTAATATTTTAAAATACTCGAGGTAATGATATCTTTCAAAAATAGCAAATGTTTGAACACGGGCTTGTGGACTGCTTTAAAAAGCTTCTATACTTCAAAAGAAGGCAAAAAAAGCTGCTACCTCCATTGAATCGCTGAAAAACCTGATGAAATAAGACAGACAGCTGTCCGTCCATCTTACTTTAAAAGAGAGCTGTTGGGTACTCTCTCCAACAAGATCCAACATTTCCCATGCTGCAATAAAGTGCAACACATGTTGATGAAAGCAAAAGGGGATGACCTCAGCACGTCTGACAGTCCTGAAGAAACTGGATCTAATCAGAATCAGATGGTTAACAAAAAAACTGTGTTGTATTTGTGAGTGTGTGTCAGTTGTTCCCTCATGTATCTAAAATGGGTATTTCCAAACTGCCATATGTCAATTCAAAAAAATAATGTACAGTATCATTTGTTCTGGAGGAAAACTCTTTAGTTACATCACGTATTACTAATTACTAATTTTGCTTTCACATACAAGGCACATTACAGTGGAGTAGTGTGACATTCACATGAAGACTACTAGAGCCAGGTCCTCATCAGCAAAGTCTCAAGTTTTACCAGTTTTTAGTATTTTAAAAGGAACATCACAGCCGTGAAGTGAAAATATCAACGACTGTGATATTATCAAAAAATACAGCAAATGATGAAAGGCCAGTGCACTTGCACCATTCCTTTCTTCAGACGTACGGTGAACTTAAAGGTGACAGGCGGCAAAAGAGGACTATGCTGTCACTATAGTTCGGTGGATGTATAATTAGGAAACTGTTAACGCATTAGCCATAAACGCTTGCTAAGCAAATGGTAGATCAAGGCTCAACGTGGCCATGATTGATGGTTGAATTTCAATCTACATCTAACACTTCTCCAAACTGGGCCACAGTTTTTGTTTTTTTACAAGTTGAGTCATTCAACTCGTTAGAGCCGAGTTTGTGTCTCAAGACTGGAAAAGTTTTTGAACCCCTGTCCTAAATCGTTTTTTATCCCCTCAACAGGGGGGCCCTTCACTCTCACATAAAAGGCTTTTTCTAATGTTCATTCATGAGGGATTATTTCACAACTCATCCAAACGATGACTCACGGACTGGTATGTGATTAGGTCAAACTTCACATGGAGTGCAGGGAAGTAAAGCCCAGTCAGCGAGGTAGAAAGCAGCACCGTAAATTAAAGATACTAATCTTTATGTTTCATATTTACAATTAAGCTAATTTAAATGCTACTCAGCTAGTGGATGAGGAAAGTAATAGAGCGTAAATGGCAAGTGTAAAATGAGTGCTGGATTCAAACTGAGTTGAAATGCAACCAAAACACTTAATACGTCACACTAAGATTCACAATTTGATCTTAAGCATTCAACCAACACAATAAGCAGGTCAGGGAGAGAAGGAAGGAATCCCCCTTTCTGCTGTGTCGGGACCAAAGAGAAAAAAAGGCACGCCATGTGAATTTAATAGAGTGACGCTCCAACTGGTGTTACCCAACTGCACTGAAAACAGATTCCAATTAGTTAATCTTTTCAGTCACACATTCTTTGGTGCTGCCAGAAAGGTGACCATTAGTACTGTAAAGAAAGTACTGAAAATTTGCCAAGGACACAGATTTGAATTCCATGCAGAATGGAAGAAAGTAAGAAAAACTAATCCTGTAGAAAGAATGTTAACACATGTTAGAGAACATAATGCAACTGATAGCATAGCCTACGTGACATTGCTATCACTCTTAATATAGCCAAAAACACTGAATTGGATATTGGACAATTTTAATTTATTGACAAGCATCATGTTTTTTGATCGTTATCAGAACCACAGTGCGTTGTAAAGAGGAATGTGAATAATGCTGTATGAACTAAGGAAGATCCTCAGTGTTGTGGAACTGTATTCAATCCAAACGTAGTATAGAGATCCAGTAACATTCTGCACACTTGCCTTTCAATCTTCAGATTACTAACACACTCACTCTTCTTGCAAAGGAACTCCCCTCTCTTTAACACATGGGGTCAGAGAAGAAAAGACACATCACATGACCACAATAGAAACACATTCCTTAAACTGGTGGCAGCTGAAAAGAAACCATGCAGTGCAAAGACCTAGATAAAGGGACAGATCAGTGAAAGGAAACCCTTTATATGCTTTAGAATAAAAACAATCCATAAAAACAGGTCGTATGAATCTATCTGATTATAAAATATGTAATATATCTTTATTTAGATTTGTATGCATTATTGTGGGTAGCAGAATTGTGACAGAGATCTGACTTGGAGAAACTGAAACAGGCCCTGATCAAAAAAAGAAAAAAAAACTGATGTAATTTCAGTTTCAATCCAACCCAACCCTGAACTTCGGCAGCATTCAATGAGCTGCAATCCTGCCAACTGACTGCCTGTTGTTATTCTAAATAATCTAAAACAATATAAAATTTTTAAAGGACTAAATTCTATATACCTCTGTTAACTATCATTCTATCTTTTTTTTTTTACAACAGGAACATCTCGAATTGGCCCGAACCCAGTGGGTTCGAAACCAGCCAGCTTCGGAATCACAGCTTACAGTGGGTAAAAACTGATGGAAAACTGTTTTCTATCTGCTGGCCTGAACATTTCAGTAAAGAAAAAAACTTAGCTGAATGGAATCTGTACTTTATCCATAATCATCCACCTTATTAGAAGATTTTAAAGCACTACGCACTTGAAGGGAATAGTTATTATTATTATTACAGTTTTGGGTTGGGACACAAAATGAGTCACACTTTCTGGTGGGTCCCCGCACAACAAGAGTGCTGGTTATGTTTATATTAGTCATGGGCACATTTTGAGACCATAATGGCAAGTTTTTTTAGATTAATACGTTTGTGCAGCCACATTTTGGCTTCCTGGACCGCATGCTTTTTTAATAATAAAGACTGAGAGTTGATTCTTCTGAAGAGGCAATGTGAACCTACTGAAAATCTTTAACGCTGTGATCTGTCAGAAATTGTCGAGGCTAAGGACTAAAATATCTTCGATTCATGAAGATTTTTATCAAACCAGGCACCAGGAGAGCTCATAAATACTTAAACACCTATATGGGAATCAGGGGACTATGACAGATTAAAGAGAGAGAAAACAGTCCACTTTTCCATTACTAACTTTTATCACCATGGATTCAAGATTCCAGATTATTGTCCCATAAAGTGGAACACTTGGTCATTTGGTTTGGGGTTTCACCCATGCTGCAGCCATATAAAGCATACAAAGGTGTGAATAAATAACATAAAGGTTCCTAAAAGCACCTATACGCAAACCGAGACACCTCAATAAAAGCAAAGATCTGCTTAAATCCCTTCAATAAAAGCTTTCTTTATCTGTGGCTATTTTTGTAGTTTTATTGGATTAATTAATTTTTAAATCTATTCAACCTACAACTGAGGATTCTGAACCTCCTCCCAGGAGATAGAAACTGATACTCGTGTAGCGTGTAGAACACTGGTTGGGTCAGGAACTATCTTATAGGCTAGCATGTTCGTAGGTAGACTCCAAGGATGGAAGCTGTCCTACCTCAATAATTTTCCATGCTGCCTGTGTGGCACATAGAATATTTATATGTAACTGCCCACTTAAAGTATGCACTTTATCATGCATGTTTTTACGGACAACCCCCATTCAATTTCAAACAATTTTATTTGGAGTTTAAAGATTTTAAGCTGTGGGCTTGTGCTGCATTCTTCAGTTGGCAGTTAAAACCAGAACAAGTAAAACCACTGGGTATTGTATTTATTCTTTCAGGTGGGTATCGTGCATTGTACCTAATGCTGGGCAACAATTAAAATTTTTAATTGATTAAAGTAATCGCATGATTTTCTTGAGATTAATCTCATTCTTATACGCAAAATTGAATAATGAATTCTAAAGTAGTGTATTGCGCACATGTAATTTATTTAATTTCTTTATTAATGTAGTTACATTTTTGAGGAGGTGCACATCAGGCGACAGCGTAGCCTCTGCGTAG